CCAAGCAGGCTGGCTGGGGAATTCTGGGAGCTGAAATCCACGCATCTTAAAGTTGCCAAGGTTGGAAATACTAGTCTAAAAATTGACGTTTTCCTGTGTTATCCCTTAATATTTTGATAGCCAGGATAGATTCAGCTGATCTGGCTGGCTAGATGTGCATCTCTTCTGAACCTGTGCACTCGGTGGAAGAGGATGACCATGACTGACACAATTTACATGATCTGCATGCATTTTTATCATTTGTGTAACTACATCATTTACACAGTTTACATCATTTAACAAAATTTATTTCAACTGCAAAATTTTTCAAACAAGTAACGATGCAAATTTACACAAATGACATAAATTAGCCACAGATTGTGACTTAGGATATTCCTTCTTAAAATTAATCTGACTGCCGTCCATATCTAAATGACATGCTAAGCCAAACTACAATATAATTTAGGGTACTGGGAAAACACAGTCAATCTTTTTGAGGAATAACTGCAGATGTGTGTTTCACCGTCAAACATTTGTGAATGTTCGGCTGTAATTTGATAAATGCTGTAACCCAAGTTTATATCTTTAATGTTTATTTAGCGTTAGAAATTGCAAAAATGCTATGGCAAAAAGCCATGGGTCAATAAAATATGGAAATATGTTTTTCAGCTCTTCTCCATAAAGACACATCTTGCCCTACCTAAAGACAATATTTTGCTTTGTGACCAAGGAGATCTACAACTGTGTACCTCTTTGCTATGCATCCCATCCCTGCCCCCAATTCTCAGCAGAATTTGCAGGCTGAAGCATAGTATGTACACAGCTGGAACAATTCTGCCAGCACAACTCAAGATTACAGTAGAATTTAGCAACAGGATGCAAGGAGTACAAAATCCCACAGTCTATTATCAGCTTTGGAAAGCTCAAAAAATGATTAAAAGGTAAAGTTCACTAGCCTGGAAAAGGCAAGAAATCAGTTATCGGCTTAGAGGAAGGAAGAATATCATTGCTGAATATGTATTTTTCCCCATGATTCTTCTTCCAAGAATGGAATTAGATCTTTACTACAGAATTTAAAATACTAAGAATCTCGTCCTTTATTTCAGTAACATTTACTATTTGTGGCTGAAAATTATAATTAGGGAAGGTAGGGGGAATATTTGAAGAAGTCTAACAAACCAAAGGCTGGGTAGAACTGATATCAGTGATGGCAAACCTTTTGGGCTCGGCATGTCAAAAATTCGGAAAATGCTTAACTTGACTATACTGGCGTGTCACCCCCCCACCAAACAAGAGAAACAATTCTTTACATATTCATTTATTTTTTAAAAAATGCAGTCCAATCATGTGCGGTGCTATGTATTATATAAAGAAACGCCGAATAATTACAAAAATGAAATACGAGTAAAACAAACTCAGTTTCTTTGGCAACTCAAACAGGGAGAATAGTTGCTGTCGGGTGTTCGTGAACGCTGATGTGTCACCCAAAACGTTGTGGTGACATGTGTGTCATAGGTTTGTCATCGCTGACTTATATTAACAGAAGGGTGGGATATAAATTTAATTATCAATAAGCAAACAGACTTCCAATGGTTTCTGGATGCTATTTCTATGACATTCTTTATTGATTGTTGAATTTCAGACTCCATATTTTTTCTTTTTCCTGCCTCTTCTTTCTCCCTGCCCTCATACCTTACGTACTTTTCAGCTTTTGTCTCATAAATCTTCACTAAAAGCTAGTCAGACAAATCATTTTTATACCAAATATACAGCCCATTTTTACAGACAAAAAAGGGCTTGTGTGAGGCTTCAAACCAAGCACAGAAGTTGAACTCATATTCATCTGTCCTCCTAAAAACTCTTATTTCACTCCCAGGCAGAAATAAACATCATGAAATCTATGAACATTCAAACCTATCCCTCACACCCAAAAGAACGTAATGCAAGTGTATGCAGTCTAAATCAATCACTTTAAATACAGAACTTGAATTAGAAAAGCAATCAAAGACACAACTCACCTCCCCGTTTTCCAAGGGCACAATGCGGGAATATTCAGTGGTACAAATGACATCATCATCTTTGGTAATCTTCTCTGAACTCTTGAGGCCAAATTTCTCTATGCAATCTCTCCTGGAAGCTATTGAGCGCAAATGTCAAGAGATGACAAGATTTACATTCTGGAAGGGTGTGGTTTACCCCAAATTAACTAATAACATTTTGCATGTATAGACCATTTGCAAACAGTCAAAAGCCTTTGCATGTATCACTAGGGTGATTCTTATAATATCTTAGTAAAATTAATATAGTGTAGACAGGCCGAGACAATGGCATACTTAAGGTCACCTAATGAATTTCTGGCAGTGAAAAGAAGCAAAGAAAAACCCCCACCAAATTCTCCTCTTTTCTTACCCATGACTACATCAACTCTCTAAGTTTAAATATCAGAAGTGAATTTAGGATAAACCAGAAAATGAAAATGGAGCACTAGGATTTTTTTTTTCTTTTTAAGTGCCGTGATAACTTCTTGTGATGTTGCTATCAGAAGAAATCCCTCTCTCTCTCTCTCTCTCTCTCTCTCTCTCTATCTATCTATCTCTCTATCTTATCATCTACAAAGCTGGAGCAATAGAAATTACTGCCCGAAGCATGTAAGTTGCATTCAGAATTGGCGTAGAAAACCTTATTATCCCATCTTATTTCCTATAATCCTTATTTCCAATAGTCCAGAAGCTGCAGAAGGAGCTAAGACACCCATTATCCATTTCAGATTTCTGGATTTGATCTGACAATCATAGTGCTTCATCAAAAGAGATATATTTATTGCTGGGAAAACTATAACCTAATTGTATTAACATCTCTGAAAACAGTAAGAAAATCAGGCACAGAATAAATAGCCAAAGCACAACTGAAAATATATTTAAGCAACCCAGAACACAGTTTGCAACTGAGCCTACAACTCTTGTATGGTTTTAGAAGTTGTGGAGATCTGCTACAGTTTAGCAATAAAATGTTGTGACTTGTTGATGCTGTGATAATTGGTGTTTCTGCAAAAAATATACTTTAAAACATGCACAGAGGTTGTTAATATAATTTGCTATTATATTAAGTCTAGTTTGGCTTGAGGGTACACATCCCACAGATGTAATTGAAATTTCAGGCTACTGTTCTTTTCCTTGAGTATATTTGGCAATCTAACATGAATGCTTTATTCTTGTCCTCAAATGATCGATTATTGATTATGGGCCATAAAATCAGTGTTGACTTTTAGATTTTCTCCAGGTGGATCCCCAACCCAGTCCTTCAGGTCTTCCAATATGCACCCACTGTTGCTATAACTGAGTCCATACATCTGCAGTTTGTTGCCTTCTTCACTTTCTGTCCACCTTTCCCAGCACTATAGATATCTCCAGAGAGCTGGGTTTTCACATAAAGTATCCAAAGGATTGCTGTTGACTTTTGCATATTAATATGTTTCTACCTTTTTTATTTTTCTAAGCTACTTTAAGCAACTCCTTTTGGATGAGAAAAAATGGGCTAGAAATGCTCCAAATAAATATATAATTCATAACCATCATGCACTGGCAAATTCCTGGCAACTGGATTAAGTTCTAACATCCTCTTATTTTTAATAAAAGGATGTTGTGAAATACAAATGTTGGTCATCATGCTTGTTTAAGATCTAAGAAATTTTGAAGGAAACATTGCTTACAGAAGTCTGAAGGAAAGTAAATGCACAGACCAGAGAATCAAAACAGCAATAAGAACCTTGAGATTTTGCAGTTAGAAGAACAGCTAGCAAGCTGAGGATGAGGAAGGAGACAGATAAACTTTTGTTTAGAATAAAGTATTCAAGAAAATATGCAGGAACTGATCCATCACAAAAGAATTTACAGACTATCCTGCTTGCCTAGCATTATCTTAAAGGAAGAAACAAAATTAGTCTGTTCTGTTGTGGCAGGTGGCTTATCTTTTCAAATTGCTCCAAAGTTGGGTTCACGTACTTTCCTGAGTCATGGCTTGCTTTCACTGTGATTTGCTAAAACAAGCCATAATGGCCTGTTCCACATTTAATGCTATACCATAAAGCAGTGTTTCTCAACCTTGGCAACTTTTGTTGAAGTTCCAATTGGTGGTGACAAACCCTTTCATTGGGTGAAGAGCCCTTCAGAATGGCTGGTCAGTTTGCCTGACTGATGGAGCTGATGAACCTTTTGAGGTCCTTGTTAGGTGATGGAAGATGAAACGGAGATAGAGAGGGCCATCATCATGTGGAAAGAGGGCTGTTATTGGCAACACCATTCAGAGATTACTTAACACCAGTGTTAAACACACTGCTCTGATTGCCTATAGTAATCAAACTTCAAAAAGTTTTATTTATGACATTTAAGACCCTTACTGGTACCTTTCCGAATGTTAAGATATGCAAGAGGTCTCTCATCAGCAGAGAGTAAACCTTCTCTGTTTTGACACCATGATTTTTGAATGCCATTTCTCCAGACAGCAGCTGATGCTAACATTATCTGCCCTTTGGGTGCCAGTTGAATTCTTTTTTATTTTTCAAATTTGGGAGGTAACATCCTTCATTGTTTCCCAACCTTGGCAACTTCCAGGGGTGTGGACTTCAACTCCCAAATTTCTCATCAACAACCATGCTGGCTGTGGAATTCTAGGAGCTGAAGTCCACACATCTGAAAATTGCCAAGGTTGGAAAGCAGCAGCCTAACCACACATACTTTCCTCTGTCTCCCTGTCAGAGTCACAATGTTTACTGCTGTACGTTTTAAATTTCTGGGTTTCAATTCAATTTGTGTATTTATTGGGGTTTCATTGGTTTGGCTTGCTTTGGATGAGTGGGTAAGCTAAAAAAAAGTATTTTACATAAATATACGGAGTAAGCATTTGAGCAAGCAAGGATACCACACTGGAGACTTCAGAAATACACCATTAGCAGAAGTCGAGACTTGATCAAAATAATTTTTATCACAATGAGCAAAACTTCTCAAACACAAAGTATGTGCTCAAGCATAGCACAGTGATTAATACAACAAGTGATATATCAGGAAGACTCTCATTCAAATCTGTCTTTGGATGTTTTTCAAGGGATGTTTTAGAAAATTACAAATAAAAGAATCCCCAAACAAAGAGTGCTAAATTGTGCATTTTTTTGAAGGAAAGTTCTGGTGCTGTACAGTGCTTGGCTATGTGAGCACAAAAGAAAGTGAATACACTGTATATGGAATGAAATTAAACGTGGAAGAAAAGGAAAGAATCAAAAAAGGACAAATAATTGAGTGAAAAAGAGAGTATGGGTCTTTCTTGCCTTAGTAAATATAGTGAGAGAAGATTTATTTCACTGCTGATGCTGCCATGGCAGATTAGATTTTCCTGTTGCCAAGGATATAGAAAAACGTGTGGTAGTCCACATATTTCTATACCACAGATCCCAGCATTCTCAAGAAGGGTGTCCAACGGAGAGGAATGTTAGAAGTTGAACAATATAAGGAGTGCCACAGATTGCCTATCCCTGTTAAGGGAGGAATTATGAATTATTTTCTAGAATCCTACTGGTGCCTACACAGAGATTAAAACAAAACCAGAGCAGAAAACAGGAAGCATGAGGTCCAGTTTGGTTCCCAGTATGAGTCTTCATGTACTGTATTATTTAAGGAAAGATTTCTTCAAGTATATATAAAAATGTGAGCCACTGGCATAAAACCTTCTGTTATTGTTTGAGAACCCCTTTAGGATAAATATGCTTCTTATTTTTTTACCCACGGGGTGAACTTAATCTGCTACTGTCGAAGAAATGTGAGTTCTAGCACACTCAGGGGAAAAGACTCCTGTATAATCTTCCCAGATATTCTTTTTTCAGCCTTTTCTGTTTAAAAGATCATCATAAAATTTAACTCACATCTTCTACCAATTACTGCTTCTGCTCCCCAGAGAAGCCAGGGCTTAATACCTCTAAACAACCTGGTTTCTCTCTGTCTCCTTCAAAATGATATATTTGCAAAGGAAGCTGATGCATCTTGGTAACATAAGTATCAAATCTGCTCTGGGAACAGCAGGCAGTTTCATATTGAGAAGCAAATTCTCTGACCCAATTTCCTTAAGTTTCCTTTCCCAGGGAATACATGGAAGAACACCAGATAGCCAGAAATGCATTTCGTCTAGGCTGCAAAATACAGTAACTTGGACCCTTTCCTAGAGCAAGATTGCCCTCATGGCAAAAGGACACTCATCTTTTCTTCTCATGCCCTTTAAGACACAATATAGTAAGATTCCTACTCAACTGGTCTTAAAACTGCCAACAAATTTGATAAACGTTTCTATCAAGAAGCAACGTAACTGTGAGCCTAGAGCCATACAGGCCAAAGATGAGCTTCTAAATTAACAGGCTAGTAGGGTGAAACTTGTAGATGGTTTCAGGCAGAAAAAGAACCAAAGGCTAAACAATGGCTATTACAGAATGAAAGCAGTTGCTAGAAAGTTATTTGGTGGGCCAGGTATAATATACAAGAAAATGAGTATGCTATGCTAGATAAAAAAGTTGCTGCTGCTTCAAAAGGCAAAATAGGACAGCTAGATTCATCATCATATTCTAAATCCTTTCTAAATTCTAAACTTTTAAAACTTTTTCTTGTTTGTGGAATGGAGCACAAATATGTTTAGCTGTGAAATGTTCTTGAACAGAAGATTACAATCTGCTTTTTTTAAGTACGCAGAATTTATAATAAGCTAGCAAACAGGCACAAACATGGGTTGGATCATCGAAATGCTGTAGACAATCCTTCCAAAGCATACAGAAGACTTATCATACGAAGCATTCCTTCTTTTCCTTGGGAAAGGGAGACCTTTGTTGATCTTACACTACAATTTTGAGTACAATACTTCTGAATTGCAATACAAATATAAGCTTAGTTCCCTTCTCCTTCCCAAATTTGGTTGTAATGAGATAGACAGGTGACTGATCCTCTCCCTGTACTGTGTATGAGTATGTTCCAAGCATCTCAACAGTTTTATGTTGAGAACATCCTATTCCTGCTGCGACCACAGGCATACATATGTGGCGTGGCAAGTGGAGTCTGGTGCAACCAAACCTCATCACCCAAATGACATACATTGTGTACCTGCATCATTCTGTACCTCCATGACAGGTAAATCATTTGCATTATTTGTGTGATACTGTCAAGACATATGCAAAATGGCTTCTACTGGAGGCCAATGGCTGCAACTCAGGTTGCTCAGATTCACAGAACCTGTAAATTCAGGTGTGTGGCCAAAGCCTGCTTATTACAGAAGCTGTCTTTGAAAATCCTTCCTGGGACAAATATTGCTTATTTTCAGAGGCAACTGGCTTTCCTGATTTTAAACCCTATTACTCTTATTAGACTCAACTGCAAATAGTTCCCGGCTGAACAATTCGTTTTCCAATGGGCATTTAGAATGATGAATAAGAAAAATGAAAATCGGGAAAGAGACAGAGTGATCATCTGAAGCCTACAATACAGGACACAGAAAATCTTTCTCATCCGATTTTCTAATTTTTACCTGAAGGGATCAAAGTATAGAGACAAACCGAAGTCCTCAGTGCTTATAAATTAGTTGATTAGTATCAACTAATATAGTAACTTCCTTAAGCTAAGGCATAAAATTTGTTACATCCAGGATAAGTAAATTTGATAATAAAGAAATGACGAGGGAGAGTCCTCTCCAAGCTCTATCACGTGATGTCCCTCCTGAGAGTTGCAATCCCAAAAGAAAGGGTGGAATGCAAAGCCTCTGCGTGGACATTTCTTCACTTGCATCCAGTGCACTTAAGAGAGAAGAGGAGATGCTCAACATTCTTTGCAAACAAAGTCTATAGGCAGACTGAATTCTCAGGAGTAAGCTGCCCTTATCATGCTGTTCCATTTCTGATTTAAGAGCATTTGGCCCACTTTGGATCAGAATTACTCCTGATGCCCACATAGTGTGGGAGAAAGGCAAGAAAAGCTTCACCCTCTCTTTCTTAATGCTACATTGG